CGGTTGTAAATGAACATCAGAAACTCTGTCCGTCACACACTGCCTGCGTGTGACTTTGTATGCGTGTATGTAATGTATATGAATATATCTCTGTTGTGCGTGAGTGACTTGGTTCATTTAATATGTACAGAAACATACGCGCTCACACATACACACACAGTTTGACTGAGTTTGATGTTAGAATAATAAATTCCTTTTTTACACAGTCTGTACAAGACCTACATTGAGCTAAGCAATAAAGTTATAATGTTGAAAACAAAAAAAATGATTTGGCTAAACACTAAAAAAATTTCAAGGACTAATTAACTTTTCCGTGAGGGTAACAGAAAACAGTATACGTCAAAATCAGCGGAATTTTGACGCCATTTTTATAATTCCTTCTGTATTTAAACCGAATATAATTTCTAGTAAATGTAGTATTTTAAATGGGCAAACAATTTTGAGTTTGATCACCTTGCTGTCAGCGGTGGCAGACTATTAATAAAAATAATATAATAATATTTTTTAACAATTTTAAAACCTATCAGCTTAAAAAAGAAATTGATGTTACCCATTCATATAACAATAGCTTAAGAGATCGATGTTATGATTACTGACGATCAGTTGATCTGATCAATATCAATGTTTCTTTATCTGATCGATTTTAGCCTCAGAAATTATTCTTTTTTGAGATTAGATATCTATTTATGGCATTTATTGCTTAAAATGAATCATAAAAAAATACGGCAAGGGAATAAGAATTGAGCAGAAATAGCGATTCAATAAATTAATACAGACGTTCTAAACAATAAGACAATATATTAAAAAAATGAATATAATTCTGATGTCTAGATTTTATCTTATTTCTCATATATATCATATCCAAATCTGGTTTGGTTTGTTTTACGGCATATTAACCTCAATGGCTTATTTAATGCCAACAAAATTTTTTATTGCTGGTAATATGTTTTTTTCAAAAAATCTATTGCTGGTAATATTTTTTTCCTTCAAAAATAATCGCTGGTAATATATTTGTAAAAATATATAGCTGTTAATATTTTCTTTTCAAAAATCTATTGCTAGTAATTTTTTTTTTTTCAAAAATGTATTGCTGGCAATGTTTTCTGGTTTTTTTTTTGTTGTAAAAATGTATTGCTGGCAATGTTTTTTGTTTTTTTTTTTTTTTCAAAATTTTTCAAAAATGTATTGGTTTTTTGGTGTTTTTTGTTTTGTTTTTTGTTTTTTTTTTTTTCAAAAATGTATTGCTGGCAATGTTTTTTGTTTTGTTTTTTTGTTGTTTTTTTTTTTCAAAAATGTATTGCTGGCAATGTTTTTTTTTTTTTTTTTTTTTTTTTTCAAAATGTATTGCTGGCAATTGTTTTTTTTGGTTTTTGGGTTTTTTCAAAAATGTATTGCTGGCAATGTTTTTTTTTTTGGGTTTTTTTCAAAAATGTATTGCTGGCAATGTTTTTTGTTTTTGTTTTTTTCAAAAATGTATTGCTGGCAATGTTTTTTGTTTTGTTTTTTTTGTTTTTTTTTCAAAAATGTATTACTGGTAATGTTTTTTGTTTTGTTTTTTTTGTTTTTTTTTTCAAAAATGTATTGCTGGTAATTTGTTGGTAATCTTTATGTGATGTGGTTTCTGTTATTTGGTACAGTTTTTTTTGTGTGTTTTTGTAGCGCCAGTCTTCAATATTCAAGGCAGGATGATCTTTACCAAAACCTTCAGGCTTGTCTCGATCAAAGTTTCACCATTGATCTTAGAAAGGCGGTTGTACACAGCTGACATTTTATATATTTTGGAATGGGTTTGGCGTCATACATGACATCCATATGAAAGGCTCGATATGATGAGGCTTTTTTTAAGAATATGACTCGAATTTTCAGGTTGATGTTTTTATGTTGTAGCAATTTGCGCTGTTGTGCAAAAATACTTCTGACACAGCGTATTCCATATTCAATTTCCTTTTCTCTTATACTAAATTTCTTATAACTGTTCCATACGCCAAGGCATCTGAAGTTTTTAATAACATTAATGGGCTTATCAAACTAACCATGTTAGATGTTAAAAGTAGACTTTCTCCGAGAGAATTCATCGAATTCTTTCAATAAAACGTCCTAAGCCACTATCCATTACACCCCGGCATATATGAAATTGAACTCTAACGAATCTCTGTCTTTTACTATTCTTTTTGACCAGATTTCCAGTTCAAGGACCACACCCTCCAGGTTACTGTGCCCCTATTGCTTCAAAAACGAGGGTACAACGGTGTCTGATGCGCGCGAGAAAAGAAGTACTGAGGAAACCAGACGATTTTAAATAATCTACCAGACAATTTTTGCAATTTCCTATACACGTTGATTCTCACTGTAAACACGACCTTCCATTCTAGTGGGCGTACATACCTCTTCTTTATTTCCCCCCTGTTTTTCCCAGCATTTTGAGCATCGCAACCCACCCTGTTTGAGGCGATCGATCAAATGATTTTATGGAAGCATTATTCCTTGTTCGTCCCCCCATTCTGTCTGTCGTTCACTTCCGGATTTTAAATAAAATGGTGGATCTTAAATAAAATGCAGAATCTTAAATAAAATGCCACTGCGCAGCATTTGTTTTTCTTTCAATATGTTACGAGCCGTTATTGACGATGATGAAACAAGTGCATAGCTATTCGCTAAATTTTGAACTGAAATTTCCATTGTATGATCTGTGTGAGTAATATTTACCACTGAACTGACAAAGTAAGCGATTGTGCTGAAAATGGAATAATTGTCTAAAACGAATGCATTTTCCATCATTAAATCCAGTCTTATAAACATACTGTTTGGCCAAAGAGAGTGCGCGTACGTGTCATATGTGTGTTTAATCTCGAAGAGATCCAGAAAAACGCCTTAAGACAATTGAAACTCTGAAGACGGCGAACCCGTAGATCGGCAGCTTTATTAATAACGAAAAGGGTAAAACTAGAAGAGAAATAGATACATATAAATAAAACTAGTTAGTATAATATAAACAAACAAATGTAACAAAAGAATATGACAAGGGCAGCCAGAGGCTTGGACATAAAACTAAGACCATTTGTCTAAATGGGTAAAAGAAAGTAGCGAATATCTCGTTTGCATGAATATGTATAAAGTTTGCTTCCAGAGTATATCCAAATGTTGCGGGGTGTTCGGAGAAAATGATGTTAGAAGAAGGTTACATTCTGCAAGTCTCTGTGGATAGTGGACACGTGTTGAAAGGATTCTACACGGAGATATATAGACTTAAAATAAACGTATAAAATATGGCGGCATAAAACAAATGCTCAAATAATGACGTGATAATAAAACAAAGTGAAATATTATAAGAAATATAGAGAAATATAGGAAGAAATATAGAGAAATATAGAGAGAAATATAGAGAAATATAGGGAGAATTGTGGGGAGATATATAGAGAAATATAAGGAGAAATATAGAGAGAATTAGGGGGAGATATATAGAGAAATATAGGGAGAAATATAGAGAAATATAGGGAGAAATATAGAGTAATATAGGAAGAATTAGGGGGAGATATATAGATAAATATAGGGAGAAATATAGAGAATTATATGAAGAATTAGGGGAAGATATAAAGAGAAATATAGGGAGAAATAAAGAGAAATTTTGAGAAATATAGGAAGAAATGTAGAGAGAAATATAAATATAGGGAACATTTTTTTAAAAAAAGTTACAAACTGGTGATGGTAACATTTTGGGTGAGATTAGGATGATGAAATTACTGACCACGTGCTTGCTGTAATGCGTGTACTGCGTGGCGTTCTAGTGAGGGGCTAACCGGAAGTTGTCAAAATGGTGACAATCTAGAAACCTTCTAAACTAATGAAAGGACAAACAAAGGGGAAGTAAAAAAAAATACAATTTCTGTACTGGGGCTGACAGAACGCCTACGCATGGAGAAATCAAAATCAGAAAGTACAAAAAGTTGAATATCTAGGAAGTGTTTTAACAGGGGAATGAAAAATTCGAAGGCGACTTGTAAGTTGGTTGAAGTTGAAAGAAAATCAGGTTAGAAAGAAAGCGCTGATGGCGTGAATTTATTTAAGGCGGACCTTAACTTGCCAAGAAGTGACACACACTCTTGATTTAATGAGCTTCCTCTGCGGCACATATGGAATGATACATGCAGAATCCAGTTATAAAACTGCAACGGACTGCTGCTAACTTATAATTTCAAGTGGGGCCTTCTGTAGCATATCCGTCATGCGTAGCCCTATTCATCCTCAGGTTCAACCGGTGAAATCTTCTTTACAAGTAATAATCTCTCTCTCTCTCTCTCTATATATATATATATATATATATATATATATACACACACACACACACACAAAATATATATATATATATATATATATATATATATATATATATATATATTAATTGGTGCAGTATATATAATATTAGAAAGAAAGTAATCATCCAAAAGAATTAATCAGTAAAGTTAATGTAATTAATTAAAGTTAATATTTTATTGATCTGTTAGTGAAGTGATTTCGCCAATTCGTAATTAACATTAACTTTACTGATAATTCTTTTGGGTGATTACTACTTTATATATATATATATATATATATATATATATATATATATATATATATATATATATAGATAGATAGATAGATAGATAGATAGATAGATATACACACACACATATATATATATATATATATATAGATAGATAGATAGATAGATAGATAGATAGATAGACACACACATATATATAGATGGATAGATAGACACACACACACACACATATATATATATATATATATATATATATATAGATAGATAGATAGATAGATAGATACACACACACACACACACACACACACACACACACACACACACACATATATATATATATATATATATATATATATATAAGTTTTTGTGTGTAACAATTGAGGGGCAGAGTGCAAAATTTTGACTTGAGATGCACAGAAGTCATGACTCCATTCACGTTCACACTCAAAACATCTACCGCGCTGACAAACTACAAAGCAACCCCCTTTTTTCCTTCTTTCTGTTAACTCCGATCAAAGCGAAAGGAGTGATGGAAAGTAGCTGCGAAAAGAGAAACACAACTGCAAAGAAAGAAAGGATGAAACAAAGAAAGAGAGAGGGGGGAATATAAAGCGATAGAGAGAGAGAGAGAGAAAGAGAGGAGATAAACATATGTCAGCCAAAACTTGGCCTAGGTTTATATTTTATTTCCGCTTGAATTAAAGTGACTTTTCTTCGAGGTGTTTTGGATTGTGGGATTGACTCTCATTAGCGATGATGATCTAATTTCTCAGCAAATTTGTCTCTCAAGAACACCCAAGGTGTGTCACAAAAGCGTGCGTACAAAAGCTATGTGTGCCTGTGCGTGCACGCATGCGCACACACAATGAGGATAAAATACGGATATATTTCCTGGGGTGTTTATAAAATGTACACTGTTCAATAATTAACCTTAGCAACGAACTATTTTAAATTACAAAACTGAACTTGGATTTAACGAAAATTGCATACAATGTAATACATATTACTTATAATACATTCCTTCTTGCTGAACGGCACGGGTACACTAGTAATATAGTAATACAATGTGATAGGAAGGTAGTTGACACCACCCGTGTCTGAGTTTGGCTTATCCGGTACCTCCATGATGCTTGAACCCGACACCAGTCTAAACAGGCCAAGTCAAGAATGTAAAAGTCTCGGACATTGCATGGTAGAGAAAACGCCCATTATGTGAACGCCGCCAATGTGTGTTCACGGGCTAGAAGCTTCCAGCGTACGAAGCCTTCTCTCACCGTCATTGAAACTGAAGAAATAGCGGTGGAGGCCACGATGCAGGGTACAGATGGGCCGTTCGAGTGATTCTGTTTAGGCTGGACGACGATTCGCGTTCCCGATGCCTACGTACTTCACTCCAGAGCCTCCTTAGCGGTTCTTCCCGTGGTTGACACGGGCGGTCTTGGACAATGGAGCTGCCTTGGCTCCAGCACGAATGGTAGTTCTTTCAGCCTACCGTTTCGAGGTTCCTGACAGGCCTTCACAGCTATCGCAGCAGCCCAGCCATACTTCACACTGCCAAACGATTCCCTACTCTGGAGTTTCCACAGGATTAGTTAGAGAAGTACTATTTGCGAAACAGTTACTAAGCTGAATGTTTAACCCGAGAACACTGATGATTCACACGTGTAGAGTTTTTTTTTTAAATTAGATTAGTCTGGCATAAGGTCATCACACAAGAGGTAATCACGCTGAAAACACTTAAGAATGGTTAAGGGTATGAACTAATGGTCGACTTGTACTGTAAGCACTGTGACTAAAAATAATTCTTTATTTCAATTATTTTTCATGTTACTATAGATTAAATTGGCCTTGTACCACATCTTGCTGCGTGGGACAGCGGGTAAATAATTACTATAGATTAAATAATCCTCGTCACGAATATAAAAACTGTATTAAATTTTTTAGAAAAGTTAATAAGAGGAACTTCAATTTGCTAAGTAAATCCAGTTAATCGTAAATTGATCCCCCTACGGAAGCCAAAACAATTTATGCTCATTCTACGTGATTTCTTAAAAAAAAATTGAAAACCCTTATTTGGGGTGATTTTTCACATTACTATTGATTATACACCCCAATTCCAATATTATTGGTTTGGTGCATAATTATCAGGCGTTTTTCTAGGCGAGTTATTTGTTAATAAAAATTACTGTTTTTTTTTTAATAAAAATATTTTATTTTCAGGTTATAAAAATGTGCGCCGATAATCATACATTCAAGAATAATCATTTAAAAATGTTATTGTTGAATTGTTGTTTCTTTTTTTTTCATAATAAATACAGTTTAAAAAACGCCTGATAATTATGCACCAACCCACTATAAAATCACGTTGTAATAATTTTTCGAGTTCCATAGATCGATCAATTCACTATAGATTTAAGCAGCAAACTGGACAACCCTATTGAAAACACTGAAACACATTATTATTTCTGCTCACAATGCCTATTGTACAAATCGACCGAACTAATCAATAACTCTACGACAAGCAAGCGATCATTACAGAAAATTCTCTTGCAGATAACCAATGATGTTTCCATGTATACGTAAACTGGTTTATTAAAAAAAACCCAAAAAAACTAGAAGGCAAATTAGATTTATTAATCTTTGACATGTTTGCGTGAGTTAGAAATAATTTCAAGTTGCGATTCGATGTGATTAATCTTAAAATAACTGGAATGAGCTTTCGAAGATAAAATATTTTAAAATAATTATATCCTTTTTATCCGTAACTTCTAATTTATGACGAACATTCAAAGGAATTCTTTTTCTTTCCATTTCAGAAAAATATTCAGAATTAACTGTTTGCTGGAGCCAATGCAACGATCTATTGAGTCACAGTTTGCGTATGCTTATAATGGAGAAAATCAAATTATTTTCGTTTTTATTGACCTTTAGCTTAATTCATGCCGACCTCTAACATCTATGGCTCCATTGGTGCTATTATAGCGTGAGGTCTACCTCAATATGTCGTGCCCCTCTCCTGACGTGGTCCATCAGTTCAGGTGAGGTCTAACATGGATATTTATATCAGTCATCTTTTCTAAACAAGTGAAACGGGTGGTAGACCTCACGCTATATGGAGGTAGACCGCACGCTACATGGAGGTAGACCTCACGCTATATGGAGGTAGCCCTCACGCTATATGGAGGTAGACCTCACGCTATAGTATCACCGTTCCATTTGTCTGTTGTATAAATATTTCCTTCCGGCTCCCAACTAGAGATCTAAGATCAGAAATGACTTTGTAACATTTTTCTTTTATCTCTTTGATGCCAGTCGATAACAAACAGGAAGACGAATTCTATTCCTGCTAAAATCCATATTTAAATATTAATGATAGAACCAAAACTGTAGAAACTTCGTAAGTTTCATAACATGGTAGAGTGGTTTGTGTAATCCTCTGACCCGGAGAGCTATGTTGGCAAGGCTTTACCTCCTGGCAATGGATAGGAGCGAGACAAAACCTTACTGGTCCATTATTATTATTATTATTATTATTATTATTATTATTATTATTTCCTTTGTATATCTGGTGTGTACTCATTTCTTTCCGGGTCCCAACCAGAGACCTAATGTCAGAAATGGCATCATGACATTTTCCACTATGCGATTTTGAAAAAAAAATATCACACATATTTTACATAGATAAAAGCACTTCGTAAGATGTGGGCTGTACTCGTGAGAACAATTTTGTTGTATTTCTTTAAGCTATGGGCTACCTGGAATTCCTTCAATGAGTCTATTAGAATCTTTTCCAATTAATCTGAGGACTCCAACTACAACTGGAGTTGTTGATATTTTCATGTGCCACATTTCAAAGACCTCGATTTCAAGATCCTTTTATTTTGTTAGCTTTTTGAAGATCTTCAAAGATACATTGCAGTCTGCAGGGACTACTATATGTAGAAGTAGGGCACCTCGGCGTGGTGTAATGGTTAGCAAGCTTGTCTTGCTAGATCAGTTACAACTGAAAAGTGAGTTCGATCCTCACTGGATGCCCCCATACTTTTGGCCTTGTGTCACATCTAAGCTACGCTTGGAAAAATCTCTACTATATGTAGAAGAAGGTAACCCAAGTTTCATTTTGAGTTACTAATCTGCGATGGAAATTCTCAGGGTCAGCCTGGAAGTGAGTCCGATGAGTTCTGTAAAGGTCATCATTTTTCAGCTTCTGCTCGGCTGTCAGCATTCTTAGGGCTCATCTTGCAGACAGCTTACTCATACCCAACATTTCAGTTAAAACAGTATAAACCGAACGAATAAGTAATGCCTATGGACTTAGCAATCTGCTGGACAGTAAGACGTCTGTCATCCAAAACGATAAGGGGAATAGCGTCAACTTGTTCATCAATGCTTACGGTTTTTGGACGACCTGACCGAGGCTCAACTTCTGTGCTGTCCCTGCTCCACTTGAATTCCACAACCAACTTCTTTATACTTGCATCGGTAGAGAAGTCCTCAGCAAGTGTCTGTGCCATGTCCTCGTGCATTTCCGTCTCGGGCCTCTGTTTTGTTCATTTTTAGAATTGTCGCACACCTCTCACCATTATATGGGCCTCACCTGCGCAGAAATTAAGATAGATGGCTGAATTGGTTTTTCTAGTTTTATAAGAAGCGGTAGTATATTGCCACAACAAAAATGTTCAAATATGCCTCTTTCCTTTCGCTTAGATCATTTTAAACGAGCCTTGTAATAGCATTATTCAATATTTTTTGTTATATCTCTATGTAACAAAGAATACTGGACAATTTCATCAGGGATGTAGATGAGACATGAGGCGACAGAGATGTCATTCTACGGAAGAATGCTGAGAATACCATAGACAGAACATGTGAGTAATGAGGAGGTTTTAAAGAAATTAGCAACAAAAAGAACACTTATAAATATTATAAACACTTCCAATAACTTGGACCGATTTTAAATGTGAATTTAGTTTAAGCGTCTAATGATATTTTTCTTTTTCTTTCAGATTTAACAACTTAAGTCTTTGGCAACTTCAACCATGGAAAGATTAACAATCAAACAACGTATCAAAGTTATCGAAGCCTATTACTAAAATGGACGTTCAAACAGAAATGAAATGAGAAGTTCCCAGGTGGCATCATCTCTCAAAACAGCGAAGTCAATTGGCCACCATGATCGTGCGACTCGACGCCTTTAGATTTCTTTGGAATCATCTCAAAAGTAAGGTCTATGCCAACGAGCCAACAAAAATTCAACGGCTGAAAGATGAGATAATAAGGCATATTGGTGAGATCGAGAAGCAACTGTGCAGAGACGTCATCAAAAAATTTTGACCATCGAGTGGAGGTGTGCTGCCGATGTCTTGGCAGACATTTGGGCGATATTATTATTCACACATAATTGTCATGACTTAAATATGATCCAATAGAGAAATAAATAAATTTTTACCAATAACACTGATTTATTTACTGCTGACTTTGATCCATTTTAATGAAACACCCTTTATATATATTCCGTCTTTAACATCTTTTACTTGGGATAAGAAACAAACAATCGAAATATCTATAGCAAATAAAATGAGGAAGGAAGGTTTAAAACTTTAACATTCATATATTCTATTGAGAGAAATATCGAATAACTTAACCTGAGA